ATTCAAGGCCAGCCTGGACAATATCTTGAGACCCTGTCTCAAAAATGAAGACCTGTATGAGAGGTTCAAATTCCAGAAAAATCGCTCAGGAAAAAGCCACAGGATGTTGTGATGGGCTGGTTCTTGGGAGGCAGGGGAGGGCCTCGGTGGCCTCTGGATCCTTGGCTGCAGAGCGCTTGCCCCATCTAGGGATCAAAGTTGTCTTGGTGGGCAAGCTTAATGGACATCCTTTTCATGAGTGTAAAGAGCCAGGATCACCTACAGCCCACAAATCCTCCTGCAAAAGCGGCTAATTCAGCTTCACCTCCAGATGGCAGACAGCAAAGTACAAGTCTGTGCTCAGAGTGTGGCCAGCTTGGTTAAAAACATTCAGCTGCAGGAAAGGAGGTCAGAGGGGACAGTCTATTGGCTCATGGATTTGAGTTATGATTTAAATTCCTAAAAATGAGACAAAACTGTTAGATCACAGCATGCCTCGTTCTTGAACAGTCTGACTTACGCATATTTAGGGCGCAGGAACATTGTGTCAGGTCCAACGAGGGAGAGTTCGTATTATTCTGAAAATATCTCAGTCCATTTTGAATCCTAAGCTCCCTGTGTTCTATAAAACTATGGTAGATGGGGAAGAACTACAGTGCACTCCGGGCTGTCCTTGTGACCCAGACTTGGGAAGGAACCCCAAGTATCGGGGCTGCTGATACCTGTCCATCCCAAGGCTGAGGAGGCCAAGGCAGGCTGAGGGCTGTCGTGAGCGTACTCCAGTGCCTGGGCACCTGGGCCCTCACCTGCGGTTTAGCAGCCTCAACAATTTGGGAAGTTGAAACTATATTGAAATGATTGAAACTGTATTAGATCATCTTTAAGAGAAGTTACCTGCTTGAGTTGCGTCAACTGGCAAGATTGTCATCAGTGTCGTCCTCAGAAACCCTTATCAGATAGATGCAGGAAAAGCATATGGTGCCAAGGTGACAAGTAGCAGAGAACACGGATCTCAAAGTTCTACTCTGGGCTGAACTCTCAGGCCTTCCCGCGAACAATATTGTACCAAGGTTGACTCACAGTTTGGCACGGCTAATGAATGTGCTGAAGCTTTTATGATGCATCACGATAAGAAGAAGACAGGCACTTCACCAATTTTTAGCACTAACCTTGGCTCTGTTAGTGCTGTCATTTGATTTTTTTATGCGTCATCCCACTGGCTCACTTCAGTTTTTCAGCCTTTTCACCCAAGGGGATAAGCTAATATGTATATCTCTTCCACTGCCGCACATTATTTTAGGATCCTGGGCTCCTCCTTTTGAAGCTTTTTGTAGGCAAATTGAGTAAACCAGAGCTTTGTGCACAATCCAACAGATTTTCACATTCAATACTCTTGCTCCGTAAAGTGTCTTTGTTTTTATTTTATTTTATTGTGTGTGTGTGTGTGTGTGTGTGTGTGTGTGTATGTGTTTGTATTTTGGTTTTGGTGTGTGAATTTGCTATGGAAAAAAATGTCCAGGAATGGTTTTCTCTTTCTTATGTTTTTAGTAGAGTTGTCAATGCTCTGGCTTTGCATAGAACAAAACAGTCAGTGAACATTTAGGAATCTTCTCCCCTGCCTTTGTGTCCCGTAACCACAGTAACAAGAATTCTGAGGGTTTAGAGGATTTTTCAAAAAGAAAATTACAGTTGAATTGTTGATAAATATTGCAGATGGAGGAGAAACGACTGCTTTGAGTAACAATCTTCAATGCGAGAATGAAAATGTCTTTTTGTATAAAACCCATGAAGCCTAAATATATTCGGGCGCTTAAGCCACATAGTTACCAATTCCTCCCTGTCTCTTGGGAGAAAAAAGGGTGGAAAGACATCATATTATGCCAGGTGAAGGAGAGCCCTCTAGTGGAAAATCACCAGGGTAGATACTGGGCAGGAAAGAAATAAAAGAAATAAAAGAAAAACAATGTTAAATTTAGCACCAAGATAAACTACATGGTGTAGACATGATGTGAATTGTTGTGTCCTCCTGTTGGTGTGGAAGTTATTTATTAAGAAACTTAGCCTCAACTTATCTGCCATGTAATATTGTCAGGAACATACAGACGCATGTGCTAAGGAGGTACTAAAATTAAAATCATTATTTGATTTTTTTTTTTTTTTTTTTTTTTTTTGGCGGAGCCAGGGATTGAACTCAGGCCCTTGCACTTGCCAGGGAAGCGCTTATTCCACTGAGCCATCTCCCTGGCCCCTAAAATCATTATTTGAGTGCCATATTTTTTCATAACTCCATGTGAAATACCGGGCAGAGTGGCAGGGCCAGGGAGTGGGAGACACATTTTGGTAATAAACAGGAAATTGGGTCTGAATCACCCTCTCCTGGGGTGTAGCGAGGGGTAGGACCTTCTCATCATTCCAAGTGCTTCCAACAGAAGAACGCACCGTGTGCCCATAAGTCACTGTTGTTTGTCTCTCTAAGGAAAACTTTACAAAGCACTTCATCTCCTGTATCTCTGGCTGTAATGCACACCTGAGATTGTAAAGTCATGTATACAAAAAAAGTTCTATGCTCTTTAGGCTAGGATTGTGTTTCCATTGGTCCCTTATTTTAGTCTTTATAAGTAAAATGGGAAAAAACTTGAAACATCTTAAACTTTGCAGTTTAAAATGACTTCTATTAATGGTTTATGTAGAGTATCTAAAAATGTTATGTGGGAAATACCGTGTTTTATGTGTTCAATTAGATATGTATTCCATATATCTCTATGTTGCCAATGAATTAGAATTAGGACCTCTTGCTCTCGGTTATCTCATTGGCCCTCATCCAGGAGCCCCTCTCTAGGGCTCAAAAACCATGTATCCAAGCAACAAGAACCAAATCCTGTATAAGATTCACAACCCAAGCTGTGGAGTCAGCCAGTGAAAATGCAGGCTCAGCACATTTTGGCTCAAACCACAGTGGCCTTTGGTTCTAATCCGTGATACTACAGAGTTTATGAGTTTCTAGTCAGCAAGCGTGCTTTGTCTTTTCTAAACAGAAAATGGCTGTAGCAAGGATCTGTAAACCTCGGTTATGCTCCAGGGACCCTCAGGTCTCACATCTTCTGTGAAGCTTACTCAGCCTGACTCCTGCAGTTCTTTCTGAGCCCTCCGTGGTCTTGGTCTCTGTGGGACATGGTAGACACTCAGTCATATGCTGATTGCAGGTGGCCAAATTCTGTGCAGTGTGTGCCCGTGTCCTGGACACATGTGTATGCCCTGTGAGCAAGAACAGTGCCTTATGGCCCATGGATCCAGCTCCTTCATTCACTTACCCAGTCGTCCAGTGAATACTTAATGTGCCTGTCTTGGGCCAGGTCCTCTCCTACTGCTCAGGGATGTGTTAGACAGAACAAACAGGATCGTGTTCTGATAGGCAGGCCATAGAAGTGATGAACATTAAACTCATGACCACAAATGCAAAATTTTGTAAAATAGGAGATCTACAAACCAGTATCTCATGATAAATATGACAGAAAAAAATACGGTCCACTGAGAACAATGTTTGGCATTATTTAAATTTGAGGTCAGAAAAGACATCTGATATAGTAATGTTTGAACTGAAATCCAAGACAAATGGTATTCCCTAAATAGGAGAGACTAATGGATATTTCTTACTTTAAGAACTATTTGATCATCTCTAGAACTGTGTAAGATAAACCTCTCAGGAGCAGGCTCGTCCTTCCCTACTGGCCAACCTCCCATTCATTTCTTCTGGTATCCTTTGGTTCTGATAGCCATGGACACCCCTGCTGCATGTCAGCTCAAGCTACAGTGGAAGTGAAGCAGCTAAATCTCAGGGTTACTTGCAGACTTAGGACAAAATACGCTTTTGCTAATGTATTTATGAAGTATCCCAGCATTCTGTAGGACACACATCCTGTGGATGGTATATGCCCTTGCTTACTTATGCTGCATAGTGAAAAGCACATGGCCTTTGGAATTCAGCCCCTTTGAAGTGGAAAACCAGCCCTAGGATTTTTTTTTTT